ATAAATATATATGATAATATTAATTAAATTATTTATGTGTATTTCTATATATACATACATATAAAATTATATTAAATATATGTTGTGATATTGACAATGTAAAAAAGTGTACGTTAAATTAATATGAGTGATAATTTAAATTTATTTATTTATAAGTATGTCTATATATATAGACATAAAATTATATTATATTAACTTCCTTTAGAAAAAATTACAAAAAAAAAAAAGAAGAAAAAAACATGGTTTGATCCCTATAAACAAAATAATCTTAATTTTTTAATTGGGAAAATTAGTCTAAGGTCCCTCTCCTTTTTTTAGTAATGAAAGAGATCCACAATATTATTTTATGATGTCTAAGGTCCCTCAACTCCCACACCCATATATCATAGAGCAATTTGACTGAAATCAAACCTCAACTTCCCACTTCTCTCTCTCTCTAGAATACATACACAAATATATATATATATATATATATAGCTTCAATGGCGGTGGAGTTATGGATCTAGATCTTAGCAGAGGCGCAAAGCTCACCAACATCGCTGCCATTCACTTAGACAGGAACAAGCTCACCGGAATCATCCTCGAATCCTTCGGAAAGTTCACCGGATCAGTCCCAGACCTCGATCTCTCTCACAACCAACTCATTGGAGCAGTATCAAAATCTTTGGGTAATTTGGACTTTACAAGACTTGATCTTTCACGTAACCAGCTTTCGGGTGATTTGTTATTCATCTTCGGATCCAACAAAACCATGCAGATAGTTGACTTCTCCAGAAGACCAAAATATTTTCAAACACGGTTCTTATATTTCAGTGTTCTTGACCAAAATATACACATATCTCAGTGGCCAAACAGGTTCTTATATACACATCAAACTGGTTCTTATATACACATCAAACTAGTGTTTGACCAAACAGGTTATTATATACACATACACATCAAACTGGTTCTTATATACACATCAAACCCAGAGAAAATTCAAATTTCTCTGGGTTCATTTTGACCAATTTTCTCTGGGTTTTTAAATTTCTTTGGATTCATTGTGATCAATTGAAGGCCGGTGAAGTCAGAGAAATTTTCAAATTTCTCTAGAGTGTTGAGTCTAGGAGAGGCAGTGAAGGCAGAGAAATTTAAAATTTCTCTGGAGATGTAATTTTGTGGAAAGGCAGAGAAATTTTTCTGGGAGAGTGGGAAGTATATGGAAGGCAGAGAAATTTACAGTGGGAAATTTCTCTGTGACGTGAATTTTCTCTGGATCAACTTGAGGGACCTTAGACATTATGAAAATATTGAGTGTCCTTTATTTTGTAAAATCTTAATACCAAGGACCTTAAAAAAAATTTCCCATTTTAATTTTATTAATTTAAATCATGATATTTTAATTTATTTTCAATCTAAACTATTTTAACTATTTTTGTTAAGTAAAACTCCAAAAAAATTATATTTTAGTCATTAAACTCAACGAAAAATGATATTTTTATATATTTTATGTATATCTATATTAAATTTAATGACTAAAATAATCTTTTTTTTCATCAATTTTTCATAATAAAAATAGGTGCATGATTTGGATTGATAGCAAATAAAAATATTATGATTTAAATTAACAAAATTAAAATTTAAAAGTTTAATTTTATTACAGAAGTTAAACTCTATTTTTTTTTTATAAATAATTTCACCCTTTTAAAAATAATTTAACTCTAAAATAATTTTAAAAACGTTACACGTGATTTTTAAACACTACTGTAACATACTTGCATAGCAAGAAGATGATCAAAATAAAAAAAAAAAAATTTAAAAAAAAACACAAAAGGAAAACCAAAAACAGAAGAAGGTGAAATTGTGTCGTTTTATGCAGAGCACAAGTGCACACCAGGGTCACGGCAGTGACACCGTTTTCTGGTTAACAAGTGTTACAAAAAATAAGTGAATGACTTCCTCTAGTCTGTGATTTGATTAGAGCGTACTGTTAGATTTATAGGAGCTTATTATAGATTTTATTTCGATAATTTAAATTGTCAATGTGTAGAACTCATCGAGCGTTATATGCTTGTAAATAATCACGTTGATTGAATATTGAAAGTTATGTGATCAAATCAGTTTTGTATAAAAAAAAATGGACGGTGAAAAATAAAGAACTTACAAAAATCTGATTTGATCACATAGTTATGGATATTCGATCAACGTGATTTTTTTATAGACATATAATACTCGACAAGTCCTACACATTCAACAGTTCGGATTATCAAAACGGGACTCATGATGAGCTTCTACGAGCCTAACAGTACTCTCCAATCCGATCACGGATTGGAGGGAAGCCATTCCCAAAAAATAAATACATAATAAATGTAGAATTCAATGTCCTTTTCATTAGTTTCATAATAATTTTTAGTCATTTTAAAATAAATAATCCTATATACACTAATTGATATATTAATTAATGTACTAACGAATGATATGACATAATTTTAGAAATTTTAAATATTTATAATTTATATAATGAGTGAGATCATAGTTTTAAAATAACAATGTAATAATTTATGTTAGTATATTAATTAATATATTAATTGGTATATGTAACACCACCTTTTAAAATACTTCTTAACTTTTTCAGTGGTGCTACATGGACCAATTAATGTACACACCAGTGTATCAACTAGTGTTATGTCATTATTACTGACCCCACCCATTATACAAATTACAAATATCTAAAATCTCTAAAATATGTCACATCATCTATTAATATATTAGCTAGTACATTAATTAAGACATATAACATTATTCTAATTTTTTAACTATTTCTAAAACACTTAGGCGTTGTTTGGGAAGGAGTTTTTTTGTTTTTTTTTTTGCACTAAAAGACAATTTGGTTACAAAACCAAAAAAAAAAAAAAAAAATATTCAAACAAAATATCACATCAAACCCTATAATTGTTTCATTTTTTTTCTCACAAACATCACATCTAACCAAAAAAAACCCAATTATCTTTCAAAACACAAAAAAAAATTCTCTAATAATATCCTACAACTAAAAAAATACAAAAAAATTCACTTCCCAAACACCCACTTATACTAATCTCAATATTAAACAATTAATGTATGAAGAGCACTTATTAGCCTTTTAAAATCTATCTATATCTATATCTATATATCTATACTATATATTAAGTAAAATGGGATTTTTAACCCTAAGCCTTGTCGAAACTCCAATCTCCCAATCTAAATTTCTTGATTTTTTGATTTTTTTTTTAAAAAAATCTTAACATTTATTAACTTCTCACAACTCCCAAGTCTTACCATCGTAATAACACTTTAATGCATTAAGAACAAGCATAAAAAAATTCTTTGAAATCCAACACATATGAATTCCTTGAAAAGTTCCAACACATGATTATTATCCCTCATAATAACACTTTAATGCATTAAGAACAAGTATAAAAAAATTTATTGAAAAGTTCAACACATATGATTATTATCAAAATATTAAACTTTAATATAATATAATAATAATAAAAAGACATTTAATTCATTGAAAAGTTCAATTATATGATTATTATCAAAATATTAAACTTTAATATAATATAAAAAAGGGAAAAAAAAAAGACATTTAAAAAATAAAAAAAAACATTTAAAAATCACAATTCACATATATAGATAATTGTAAACACAATCCGTGCATAGCACGGGTGATATGCTAGTATATATATAAGGAAAAAATGGTTTCTAACTCCCAAGTCTTGTGGGAGTTTTAATATCCTAATCTTAATTTTCTAAATTTTTGATTTAAAAAAAAACCTCAGCATTTATTGATTTAGTCAAAATTCCCTAACTAGTATTTATTAACTTTTTCTAATCCACATGCCTTTCCATATGCCTGCATTTATTGATTTTGTCAAAATTCTCTGATCAACATAACTTTTTTCAATTCATATGCCTTTTGAAAGCTTTGGTCAAAATCCCCTTATACAAATAATTATAGATACAACCCGTGCATAGTTACTGCATCACCCTTTTCAACTTCTCTCATACACTATGGTTAGTAATAACATTGTTAAATTATTTTTATAAAAAATCTATAAAAAAAAATTGTATATTAAAAAAAATTTAAAATAATGGAAAAGCTAGAGCTTTTTATTTGTTATCGGAATCAAATCTTTAATTTAATTTTTTTTTTTTGAAATTTTTCAACACTTTTTAGGAAAAATTTACAAAAACAAAAACAAAAACAAAAAGTTTGAGCATGGTAATAAAAATAAATCATGACTTCATGAGTTTTTTATCTTGTCAAGTTGAATCATAATAGAATTAAAAACTTGAAATATATTTTTATCAAAAGATCAAATTCTAGTTTTTTATTTTTATTTTTTCATTTTTGTAATATATTTATACTTTTCTTGTTTGCAATTATTATCTTTTAATCTTAGCAGATTTTTATTTTTTACTTTTAGAACCATTTAATCTTACCAGTTAGATTTGCAATGTGGAGGCTCGTTTTCGATTTGAAATTAGTCTAGAGTGTATTATTAGACTCGGTGGGTCTATTACAAAATCCACATTAATAATTCAAATCATTCAATATTTAAGATTCATAAAGTATTTTATTCGAATAAGAAATCACAATAATTAAATATCGATAGTCGTTTGATCAGAATAAATATATGTCAATTGTAACTGTAATTTTAAAAATAAATTATTAATACAAATATAATCTGATTAAATAATAATTAATATTTTTATAATACTCAATAAATTTTAAATATTAAACGTTATGCCTAATAAAACGCTCCAATTAAAAAACTGAACCAGAGAAAAACTGCTCCCATTTGCAATATCCCTTTTTTCTATTCAACACCACATTATTAACATGTCACTCTCAAGTCAAAAGTAACTGTAATAAAACCCTCATAAAAATCATAAGAAAAGTCATCCGTCACTCTCAAGTCAAAAGTAACTGTAATAAAACCCTCATAAAAATCATAAGAAAAGTCATCCTGCAAAAACCACCATTGTAGTAATAATAAAAGCTGAACAAATAGAAAGAAAAACAAGATCCACCTCGAATCCCCCTCCCTCCCTCCTCCATCCATTCCATCTCCCCCCTCTCTCTCTCCCCCTCTGCAAATCAAATCTTTTTTAATCTTTAGAGAGAGAGAGAGTGAGAAACATAGAAACCCATATCAACAATCTTCAATCTTTCTTCCCCACACCTACCATGTTTATTGACCCACCCTTTTCTTCTTCTTCTTCTTCTTCTTCTTCTTCTTCTTCTTCATCAATTACACAAACCTCACAGATTTTGAACCCATAAAGATTACCAAAATCAAAAACCCAGAAAGAAACTTCTACCCAATTCACACCACTCTCAAACAAAATTCCTCAACTAGGGTTTTGATCAAGAAAATATGAGAGAAGATGACTCCAATTGGTTCTCAAAATGGGAAGATGAACTCCCATCTCCTGATGAACTCATGCCCTTATCCCAAACCCTAATCACCCCTGATCTCGCTATTGCTTTTGATATCCGAAACCCTAACAATACTCCACAACCACCACCTCCACCGCCACTTCAAACCCCTTCTTCCCAACCCAACTCGGCCGAATTCGATTCCGCTTCGGCCGAGTTAGCCGAGTTGGGAGCTGGGTCTGCCGGCGACGAGCCTGCTCGGACCCTCAAACGTCCTCGGCTCGTGTGGACTCCACAGCTCCACAAGAGGTTCGTAGACGCCGTGGCTCATTTGGGTATCAAGAACGCAGTACCCAAAACCATAATGCAACTCATGAGTGTTGACGGGTTGACTCGCGAGAACGTAGCGAGTCATCTCCAAAAATACCGCCTTTACTTGAAGCGTATGCAGGGGATCTCCGCCGGTGGCGGCGGAGGCGGCGGCGGTGGGAGTGATCCCGCCACCGATCATTTGTTCGCTAGCTCGCCAGTGCCGCCTCATTTTCTCCACCCGGGTCGATCGAATTCCGAGCATTTCTTGCCATTTGTGCCTGTCTCCGCCTTGCAGCACCACCACCAGATGGCGGCAGCGGCGGTGGCTGTGGGTGGACATTCGCAGTTGCAGAATCAGTATCGGCATATGGGGCATTTTGGGTCGCAGCCAAATGGGCAATTTGAGCATTCGTTTTTGGCGAGGCAGTCGCAGAGTGTTCATCGAATGGGAGCACCGCTGCAGAGTCATGCGTCATCGTATGTGGAGGATATGGAATCGGGGACTGCGGCTAATGGGAGGAAAGTACTCACTCTGTTTCCAACTGGGGATGATTGAATTTGGGTAATTCTTGCCTTCCCTTGTCAATTTGGATTCTGGGTTTAACTTCTCAGAGTTTAGCAGTAGGTGTTGTTTTTGTTCTTGTGTTGTTCTAGATGGTTAGCAGTGTTAATGGTAGTAATTGGCATTTGGGGTTTTTGTGCAATTGAATGAGTTAAACGCAGATACAGCAACCCCAATTGCCAATTTTGTTAGTTTCATTATAACTAGTGTTGAATGGGTAGAGTTCAGGTCCTAGGATTACTACGTGTGCAATTAAGTTATGGGTAGCAGTCTATTTTCCCGATATTGGCTTCTGGTGACTGAAATAGATCATGATGTCACCCTGAGCTGCAAATAATGATCTGAGATAATCAAAGGTTGTAGTCATGGTGGTGTTTTGTTTACGGGTCAAGATTGCTTCTTTAGAGGTGGTTGTTGTGTTTCATGCTAGTTTAAGTGGATGGGTTGTCTTACATTGCAGTCTTCTTTGTCAGGGAGGTTTCTTATTGGTGGTGGTGATATTTGTGGCTCAAGCAAGATTTATTACATCTTGAGCTTGCAGGAAGTGGTGAATAATGCTGGTGAGCACTTTATATATTCTCTAGAGATTTAAGAATGGAATTTGCATCATGGACAGCATACTTGTAAGTTGTAACTGTATTTCGTTGGCAATTTCCAGGAATCTTCTGTGTAGGAATTTAGTTCCTGTATTTCTTTGTTAGTGTCGTGTAGAGGTGAGCTCTGCTTCTTGTAAATTGTGTGATGTCAAAGAGGACTTATGACCGTTAATAGTTCCAAGGGATTTTGATAAATATTAAAATATGATGTTATTGGAATCTTAATTTTACTTAAATGCTCTATGAACATTGATCAATGTTAGCTTGGTTTCCTGAAATTTGCTCGGTTTTTGAATACTTCTCTGTGTTGCTTTTGTTGAAAAGTATGGTTCTTTCCTTATGTACCATATCTTTCATGAAGTGGAAAATTCTTCATTATCAATGGATGCAACTGCATCGAAATTGTGATCTTCATTTTTTCTGACAATTAGTATTATTATCTTGACATTTTTTTCCCTAACAAAACTTAAAACATTCGGAAACCGGAGGCAAAATAACAAGTGCGGTGCGAACAATTTAAATTGTGTCAATTGGCTACTTTAATAGAGAATGCAATCCCATCCAAGTTATGTGTTAGGCATCCAATTATGCTAATACTTAGTTGAACCTTTTAATGGATTTGAGTTGGTTTATCAGAAGGTAACAATAACTCTTTTAATTGCTTATCCAAAAATGACATACAGAATCAATAAGCCAAACTCCAGCTGTTATTCCTTTAGGTTCTGCGAAAACACAAGGAAAGAATACTTTGAAAACCTTAGACTATTCAATGCTGAGCATTTGTTTTGGTTTGTGTTACATGGACTCTTCCACTTCCCCTATTATACCCGTGTCTGCCGGATGTGACAAGGGTTGGTTGTGAGATATGTGTCTCACCCTCATACCTATTTAAGATGCTTGGATTCTCTAATTTTATATGACATTTGAAGAAGACAACATCACATTTGTTGGTAAAGAAATATTTCTAGCTTTTCACTCGAATGGAGATATAAATTCCATATTTTTCCTTAGTCCCATTTAAATTGAAGCACGTTTCTAAATAATGTATGCCGTCTTAGATTCTTATCTAAGAATATTATACAATATACAATATATATAAGTGTTCAAGACGCATTCTTGTACCCATACCTGACTTTAATGCATATCCTAGTATCCTAAGATTTAGATTTAGAAAGATATGATGCTAGGAGGGGCACCTGCACTCGATACTCGAAAACATAGGTTTCAATTCCAAATTATAATTCTAGTTCCCCAGGACTTCTTGGCAACTAAACCCAGTATGGAGTGCTACCTCCTCTTGGTAATTGTCTCTTAGAAGATTCTAGAATCTCAGGGTATCAATCATGATTTTCGGTTCTCTAAGTTAGAAATATTGCCAAGAATTTCCTCTTAATGAGAGCATGCACTGAACTGTATTATTTCCATTTAAAAGTCGTATTTAATTGCTTGAACTGTATTATTTTCTAGAGTCAAATGAAAGTATCAAAATTAAATGTCATCTCTATTGTCAGTCTGAATGTGGAAAAAAACTGAGTTTGTAAACGTTGATAGTAGTTATACATTCTTAATTTCATTAATGAACTGGTAATTGCAATGTTGTTTCATCTAGAATCCATTATGTTGCCACAGTGATGGTTTGAGCTTTGAACCGTGCATGGTGGCTCTTGCCTTGCTCGTCCAACTTAGTTAGATTCCATAAAATTCCCGTACTAAAGATTGCTAAGGATTCATATGTTTTCATTTCAATAATTTTTATAAAAGATACTTTTTGAAAGGCTAATTCAACGTTGAATTGGCCAAACACATTGCATGACTTGTGTCATTTCTTCTAATACATTATGTAGTTCTCTTAACATGTTTCGCTTCATCAGAAATCTATATGCAAAAGTTCTGTTTTATTCGATAGATAAGAAAAGGAAAGAGATGAAAAATTGAATATGTTACAAGCCAGTTGTTGCAGTGTGATTGCTGATGTTTGCATTGTGATTTTTCCTCCATTTTTCTATGATCAAATGCTTCATGAGTTTCACATTGTTTTATGAAGTATGAAGGTTCTGTTTTAATATTTTCATTGCTTTTATTATATTTGTGTCAAATTGCCCCATTGTTGTACCTCCACTTCTTTCAACCTATTCTCTTACTTAGCATTTGCCATCATAATTGAATCACAATCGCTTGTTCGTTTTGTTTTGTTTTGTTTTGTTGTGTTCATTCTTATGGATCGGAAAAGGTCAATAGTGATCCAACTCTAAACATGATTGTAATAGTTTATTTTAATGTTATAGGGTTTAGGATCAATGTGAGAAGTGTTTGGGTGTGCAAGGTGCATATCATATGCACTTGCGTCAGTTCTCACAAATATATATATATACATAAGTTACCTCATAAAATCACTTAAGTTCTCACAAATATACTTAAATTGTGATTTTTCAAATTTTTATGGATTAACTTACATATATTTATGAAAACTTATGCGATTTTGTGAGGTAGCTTGCATATATTTGTAAGAATTTGCGCAAGTGCATATGGTATGCATTTGCATACTTAAAAATTGCGGAATGTTATTACAATTTTGAGATATGCATTTATTAGTGATAAACGATCATTAGTATGTCATCTTGGAGTAAAAAAAATAGCCAAATCTTTCCATACGTTAGCTTGATAGAATTTTGGTCATTTACGGTGTGTTTGGTTGGGTGATTTGGGGAGGGATTTGGAAAGGAAAAGGGAAAAGATGTGTGAAACTAAGTGAAATATAGATATGTTTTGTTCACATTTCACCTACCTTTTCTATTTTACTTTCCAAATCCCTCTTCAAATTTCTCAACCAAACATAACATTAATTTCTGCCAACGTGCCTGGCTATGTCAACCTTGCATTTGTTTGAGTCCCCTCCTGCCTCTCTGTTTTGCTTTCATGGAATAATAGGATGTTGATATATTATGAGCTAAATAAAAGGATATCTAATATTTTGGATGACATTTGTTCACTTTTTGTAACTTTTTGGTAGCGTTTGGATTCTCTAGGTACCACTTGTCACTTCTTATTTTATTTTTTAAGTAAATTATAAATATACCCCTTAAAATTTGTTTAAAATACAGATTATTTCTTGTAATTTTAAAAATTACAAATATTCCCTTGTCATAATTTTTTATTTAACTGACAAAAAAAAAAAATTCCTAACTTATCTTCTATACAATAATAAAATTACTCGAATTGTTAATTGAAATATATTTCAAACATTATTAAAAATTATTAATTGATTTGATGATTTATTAATAAAAATGTTCATTTGTTATGTGATTTATAAAAGGATTCATTTGTTATGTGATTAAAAAGGCAAGATATAATTTTTAGAAGTAGAAGATTATTCGTATTTTAAGTAAATTTTAGAAGATATATCTGTAATTTACTTTTTTTTTTTTTTGGCATACCTTTGTGACACTTTGAAAAATAAATAAATTTGGAACATCATGAGCTGTTAATTTCAGTCCACTTAGTCAAAATTTTGAACAATCTTTTTGTGTAGCACATTTTATTATAAAAAAAATAAAAAAATGTCTATGAAGCTAGGCCATTGACCAAGAATCTGTACATGTCCCTTGTTTTTTTTTTGTTTTTTTATAAATGTTTGTTGACTCGTTTCGGAACAGGCTATTTTAGTAACTTTTTGACTTTTTACGAAAAGATGTGCAGAAAAGTAGAAAGGTGATATGACAATTTTTAGTAATTTTTTGACTTTTTGATTAAAATAATCACTCCCCAAATGAGTTGGATATTTGTAATTGTGTGTTGAACTTCTTTCTTAATTAAATGTTCAATTTGAAAAAAGTCAATCCTGGCAAAAATAACCCAATTCTGATATATTTGAAGGTGACATTTAGGAATATGTAACATTACCCTTATAAAAAATGTAACTGATAACTTTAGTCCAACTCAGTTAAATAACCTGACTAATGCTATCTTGTAGGATTCCCAACAAAAAACAGAAAAACAAAAAAAATTGATTTCTTCTTAAAGTAGATGATTAATCAGAAGAAATTGAAACATTTGTTGAAATTGCTGACCATTTGATATAATTGCCATGAAACATTTGCTGAAATTGCTGACCATTTGATATAATTGCCACGCTTAGTATGTATAATTTTCAAAAATTCATTAGCCATAAACCACAAAAAAAAATTGATTTCTTCCGGAAGTTGATGATTAATCAGAAGAAATTGAAACATTTGTTGAAATTGCTGACCATTTGATATAATTGCCATGCTTAGTATGTATAATTTTCAAAAATTCATTAGCCATAAACCTCTGAAAAGGTCAGTGTAAGTTATCATCGTTGAATTTATTTAAGCCACAGAGAGGCTGATTTAATTTATTTATCATTGATTAATTAAATCATCAAAAAGAAATTTAAAAAAAAAAATTAGAAAAAAAAAGGGGGCTCGAAAGCAATTAGCGAGGAGAGAGAGAGAGAGAGAGAGTCCCAAGCAAGCATGCGTCTATAAAAATCCACTGAAAGCAGAAGTTGATTAGAACTAACAATATACTACCCATTCTAACATTAAACATACCAAGAAAGAAAATCAAGACACTGGTTTCAAAAACAGAAGTTTTAAAGATAAGTCCTTGCACAACAACTAAAACCTAAAATAACGAAAATTCTTAATAGGAGAATAAAACTGTATTTGGTTCTTGAATTCTGTTATACAGACATTTCCCATCTAAAAGTCGTCAATCAATGGTTTTGAGAGTAATCGAAGCTCAGAGGCTGTTGACAGTAAGGGGCCTGCACAACGATCAAATTAAGTGAATATTAGATACAGAAGTTGCACAAACGAATAGACAAGGAAAGCAAAACGCTCACAAAATCCAAAATGCATGCATGTGATAATCCCATAAAAATAAAAAAATGCAACTACAGGTTTCATACTGGATTACATGATTCTCATAATACAACGTGATAAAGAGGTACACAGACGGGAATGTCATCTGAACAGTGTCAAAACACTGGCCGCATTGGACACTAATTCTTCACCAAGTAAAAGAAGCAGTTGCTCAAGTCACATGGAGAGACACCTAGAAACCACTTTTTTCTACTAATTCAATCCAATTACTATTGTATTCAAACCCGTCTTTAAATGATAATTACATTACTCATTGCATCATTTATTCAAACTATGCTTTTGACCACACCCAACTTCCAGAAAATTCACTAGTCCTCCCCAGAGACTTTGGATTTCTGGGAGCTCTAATATCCGGACAGGTATCCACACCCAATACACGTCAGAATTGAACATAGGTTTGTAAAACTTTATATGCCACAAGATACAAGTTCTCATGGCAGAGCATTTCTCATCATGCTGGTCTCTCCAGATGTTCAACTAAGTCGTAACCTAGAAAAGCTGAAAAGCTGACACACTCTTCAGCTAGCAGTAAATCTAAAAAGAACTATGATCCGACAAGTGATGTCAAAATGCTGCAACTAAAATTTAGGTATTCGACCAATCTATTTCTTGAAAGTAAAAGCAATGACACTAGGGAATTTTCACGGAGGAAGGAAGGTGCTAAAAAAAGGAATCTAAGAAATGCAGCTAACCTGAAAAACAGCATGTCTGAATTGATCATATGACTGCGCATACATCATAGCAGAAGTTGGCCACTGCATATAGGTGGTATCCCTAGATGTCTGATTGAATCCTGTGGCACAGAAAGGGCTCATGATTGGGGTGCTGTAGCTCAGGGAGGCTTGGGTTCTTGGCATCTGACCCAACTGAGGAACAACGGTATCATACTGCACAAATGGAGGCTGAAATTTCTGCATACTAAAGGGTGCCAAGCTAAAGCTTTGATTAACTGTACTATTCTTCACGTACCTGCAGTAATTAAAGAATTAAATTAGCTTGGGCTATCAAAAAATCTACTTTTCTTGATATAGTGAGAGCCAAGATGATGAATTCAAAAAATGGGTAGTAAAAATGGACCAGGTAAAAAACAAGCCAGATGACTTGGTAAAACAAAAGAGCGCAGTCCATAACACATGAATTGTCCTCAACTGGCCCAGTTAAAAGTAAGCAACAAACCCAAAATCCATTCATTCCCCAATTGGCAAATTTCAAATGTTAATTAGAAAAGATGTATTCTACTTCAAAAACAGCATTTAAAACTTTCAAATATGATATAAACCAATGAATAACATCACTAGGATAAAATAACAATATAGGTGAGTTTTTAATCAAATAACTCCGAAAGATAAAGAGTACAAAAAAATAACTACAAAATAAATCTAATAATGCTGTTATAATGACATGCCTGCTCTAAAGGAGACTCAAATGCACCTCATCTATATGGAGGTTCTTCAAGAAAGGTAAAATCCGATTATTAAAGCAATAAATTCCAACTCTTGTATATACAATGTGGGTAAAGGCTAGTTTGACAGATTTCATAAAGATACCATTGAAAAACAAGAATGTAAAATAAAGATATCTAGAAGACATTGATACCTATCACCCAAATAACTCACCCCATTTCAGTTCAGATACATAAATGAATACGTACCTTTCATAACTCCGGTCATAATCTGGGTCAATACGATCCTTCTCCCTATCTCTGAGAATGGCAACTCGGGAAGAAGTACCACCATCCCCAATGGTGAGGGTTTTCTCTGAATCAATCATGGAATTCTTGCAAACTTCATTATCATCTCCACTTGGATACATATTCTTCCCATCAAATGGAGCCTGAGACACAGAAACTTCTGGCTCAGGGCTATTGGGGCTGCTGACAACAAACCCAAAATCCATTCATTCCCCAATTGGCAAATTTCAAATGTTAATTAGAAAAGATGTATTCTACTTCAAAAACAGCATTTAAAACTTTCAAATATGATATAAACCAATGAATAACATCACTAGGATAAAATAACAATATAGTTGAGTTTTTAACCAAATAACTCCGAAAGATAAAGAGTAGAAAAAAATAACTACAAAATAAATCTAATAATACTGTTATAATGACATGCCTGCTCTAAAGGAGACTCAAATGCACCTCACCTATATGGAGGTTCTTCAAGAAAGGTAAAATCCGATTATTAAAGCAATAAATTCCAACCCTTGTATATACAATGTGGGTAAAGGCTAGTTTGATAGATTTCATAAAGATACCATTGAAAAACAAGAATGTAAAATAAAGATATCTAGAAGACATTGATACCTATCACCCAAATAACTCACCCCATTCCAGTTCAGATACATAAATGAATACGTACCTTTCATAACTCCGGTCATAATCTGGGTCAATACGATCCTTCTCCCTATCTCTGAGAATGGCAACTCGGGAAGAAGTACCACCATCCCCAATGGTGAGGGTTTTCTCTGAATCAATCATGGAATTCTTGCAAACTTCATTATCATCTCCACTTGGATACATATTCTTCCCATCAAATGGAGCCTGAGACACAGAAACTTCTGGCTCAGGGCTATTGGGGCTGCTGAAAATGCGAGCTCGTGCCCTGTCATACTCCTCCTTCCTCTCTTCCACGGTCCTCACAGGACTGCGTTTAACTCCTTTTTCACCGGCTTCACTTGAGAAAGCTTTATTAGGCCTTGGTCTCATGACAATTTTAATCTTCTCATGTTTATCATGTTCCAACTGTTTAGCAGGTATTTCTGATAAACAGACAGCAGGAAATCTGCTTTCTGCCAACTTTTTAACCACGATTCTAGTACCAAGACCATCCAAGACATTATCCTGAACCATAGTCTGCAGACCATAGTGTTGAGCAACACGGTGTGCCGCAAGACGAAGGTAGGAAGTAGGGAAATGCTGGAACTCAAACTGATGCTGCTCAGAATTATGTAAGAACTTCTGAATATCAAGTTCCATCCGCAGAACTGACAAAGACAAAGAGCATAAATTATTAAAAGTAAGATTATAAACAACATACCGTTTATGCATTCACTACCCTATAATCCAAGGTTTCCCGGACTACCAAAAGCTCTCCAATTCTAGGCTGAAGCAGCCATAAAGACTCCGTATTAAAAATGGAGTTTCACAAAGAAAAAAAAAAATCCTCAGAAAAGATGTTAATAGGATCATGAATAAAAAATACCAATACTACACTTAAAATAAGCTCTTTTGTGTAGGTTATAATCTGTAACATAATAAAAGCAGTTATGCATAACATTTGGCAGCAAAAGTGAAACAAAAAGGCATTTTGGGAACATAAGTGTTACTGTGGTAAATTACTTTAACATGCTTCCCAACCATTTTCAAAGGCCAATTAGCTAAAACAGCTTGAACACATCTAATACGATCTGTCTTTGTTCATTTATTTATGAATACATACATATATATTGTGTACACTAGAAGCGTGACATGAGAACATAAAAACCTGACCTCGCGATGTTGTTCTTTTTTATTTATATCGGATCTGTTGCAAGATTATCCACTAATGAATTCCTACTCTCTATTTAACTGTCCCCTCACTCACCCTCACTTTAAATACCACCCTTTCTTCCATTACTAACCACTGCTTACATATAACGCCGCACACACTGGTGTATATTTGTACATATACATTCGAAAAAGAAAAAAAAGGAAAAAAGAGAGACAATTTTCATTTTCCTTACATGAAAAAAGTCAAAATTATGTCATGACTTGCTGTTTTGCACAAGGATATAATCCAAACTTACATTAGACTAATCCAACCAAACCAGTGTGAGCTGGTATGCATGTGCATATATTCACCATATAAACTCTTGTCATGATCCTTAGATCTAGTATGATTTGTATGATTTTCAATTTAAACAATTCATCATAACCACTTAAAATCAAAATCACAATTTCCATTACAAATCGCACCAGATCTAAGCCGGCCCTATTAACCCACCAGAAATTAAACCCTAATTCGATCTCCACCAAAGCCCTAACCCTAATTCACCCCAATAATCACCAGTTGACCAAAAATTCAAGGCGCAAAAACAAAACCCAGAAAAATCTAAAAGATACAACCGAATCTAGAAGCAAAAAATTACAAATTTAAGATAAAATTAGGGCAAAATGCGAAAAGTAAAAAATGGGGAACTAACTGGTGAGACGATGACGAGGGTTTTGGAGAGCCTCAACCAGGAAGGGATCGATCATTGAAGAAGCGACGACCGCGCCATCAGTGATGGTGATTGGAGGAATTGAATCCATGGCGTCGTCTATTTATATATATATATGTATATATGTATAGATGTATGGGTCAGTTTTTCTCTCTCTAGAAAGTGTAAGATTCTTCTTCTCTCTCTTCCTCCTCTTCCGAGGGGAAGGTTCAAGAAGAAGAAACTTTCCTCTTTCTGAGCGTTTTATAGAATGGGAAGCCTCTACCTCTGCGTTTTTTCTTCTCTTCTTTCTTATCCCCAAAGCCCAAGAGAGAGAATGAACAGACAATGAGGTTGAGATTTATAAAGGAATGATTTCTTCGTCCTTTTAATGGAAAAAAAGAAAAAGAAAAAGAAAAGAAAAAAAAGGGTACCCTGCCAATGGTATCATTTTTTTTTTGACATTTTAGATACCCTCCCCTGGCTAGGATGAATACCTAATTTTATTGCCAATACATATAATTATAATTATAAAAACACTAATAATTGTTTTGATTGAAAATGAAGAGATCATAACAAGTCATGTTATTATGTATTAAAATTTTATAAAATTTTTTTAATGTAACAGTAATGTCTATTATTATTGATATGTAAATATAATTAATCTTACTATGAATATATAGAATTTACTGAATTGTTAGTTACATTTGATATATGGGGCTCACCCTCTATATGTTGTTTTATTATTGGTAAGTGATATGTGGTATCATCATTATATTGAAATTTTACTTAAATTTTGTACCAAAAAAAAAAATTACTCTATGATTATATAATTTATTTTAAGACTTATATACATGATTTTTTTTTTTTATATTATCTATGATACACTAGTTACAAATAACATTATCTTTTCAATCTTTTTCAAAATCAATCGTAAAACTTTATGTAAAATATTTTTGTAAAAATTTTTGAAGTTATAACTAATAAGTGTCCTTTTAATTTAATTTTCTGACTCTGCCACTATTTATGTGGTTATTTTACGATCATTGATCCTAGTATCAAATCGAAGGTGGGGCAAGTTAGGGAGGTGGCATGACCAGTTAATTTTGTAATTTTAAGAATGATGGTATTAATAAAGATTAGATATAGGTATATTATTGATAATATTTTTATAAATAATGAGAGTTAAAAAGATGTAAAATGAAAAATAAAAAAGTAAAATGATATTTTTATGTTGAGAAAATTAGTCTAAGGTTCCTTTCCTATTTTTAGTAATGTAAAAGATCCACAATATTATTTTGTGATGTGTAAGGTCCCTTACCCCTGACACTCATATATCACAGAGAAATTTGGATATCACAAAAAAATTTGATTATCTCAAATCAAACCCTCATCTCCCTCTTTTCCTCTCTTTCTCTCTGCTCTTCTGTTTTCAAAACTTGCCGCTTTTCTTCTCTCTTTACAGAAACCCTAATTTACTCTATCTCCTCACTCCACCTCTCTCTCTCTATATATATATATGCATATAGCAATTTCAGGTCTGAGCTTGAAGAGCGTAGCAATGGAGGATGCAGTGGAGAAAAAGCACAAACAGCTTGAGTTCGCTATAGCCTTTGTCTTTACGCTCTCTTCATCTTCTTTTTCTTCTTCTTCGGTGGATTATGCTTCGCCAATTGTTGCTCGATTCAACTTCGATTTTGAGGTTGCGAAACTTCGATTTTACCGAGAATCGAAATCGAATAAGGCTATTCACATTGATCTTCGAGCTACTCAGGTTAACATTTCTCCTTGTGGAATTCAGCTTTGGTTTGTGTTTGGTTGCAAAGAAAAGAAAAAAGAAAAAGGAAAAATCTTCGAGCTTAATGTTTGTCATTTTAGATTCACTAACCGAAGTAGTGTTCGTGAAAAATTTCAATTTTTTTTTGAATTTTAGTTTCTGTTAGTTTTCTTACACTTTCTTAGCGACCAAACAGATTTCCTTGACTTCTTTTGAGTAATCTTCTTGAAGTTCACCAAAACACTTCAATACATCTGCCCAAAGGGTTGAATCACCTCCATTACCTGAATATGTGTTCTTGTTTTTTGTGATCTTGAAAGTGAATTTCTCTGAACTTTTACTTGAGTCCAGAGAACATTAATTCAAAGAAATTTGGTATTGGTGATATGTAAAATTTTCTATATGATTTGTCTAGAAAAATTTGGTGTTGGAGATATGTAAAATTTTCTCTGTGATGTGTCCATAGAAATTTGGTGTTGGAGATGTGTAAAATTTCTTTGTGATGTGTCTAGAGAAATTTAGTATTGGAGATGTGTAAAATTTTCTCTGTGATGTGTCTAGAGAAATTTGGTATCGGTGATGTGTAAAATTTTCTCCATGATATGTTCAGAGAAATTTGGTGTCGGTGATGTGTAAAATTTTCTCTGTGATGTATTCAGAGAAATTTAGTTTTGAAGATGTGTAAAATTTTCTTTGTAATGTATCCAGAGAAATTTGGTATTGGTGATGTGTAAAATTTTCTTTGTGATATATCTAGAGAAATTTGGTGTTGGATATGTATAAAATTTTCTCTGTGATATGTCTAGAGAAATTTGGTGTTGGAGATGTGCAAATTTTTCTCTATAACATATCCAGAGAAATTTTTTCTATGATATGTAAAAAAAATTTTGTGATGTGTCCAGAGAAAATTGGTATCGAAGATGTGTAAAATTTTCTCTTGATCAAATTTTCTTGTGTAAAATTTTCTCTTGATCAAATTTTCTTTGAAAAGTCCAGAGAAATTCTTTGGATCGATATTGAGGCACCTTAAACATTATGAAAAATATTGGGTGTCCTTTATGCTATAAAATTTTAATATCGGAGACTTTAAAAAAAAATTTCCTCTTTTGTGTTTTAGTCTTATTATATTAAAAAAAATAAACATTATGAAAAATATTGGGTGTCCTTTATGCTATAAAATTTTAATATCAGAGACTTTAAAAAAAAAAATTTCCTTTTGTGTTTTAGTCTTATTATATTAAAAAAAATATTTATATATTATATAAAAATATATTTAATAAATATAATTGAAATAAGATCGGGATAGGAGTAGATGGGGAGAGAAAAACTCATCCTATCGCACCTAAATTTTATATGTTAATTTTATGATTTTCATCTAATTATACATTTTATTAGATATTAATTCAATTCTAAAGTCACGTTGGTCCAAATATGACCCTAATGAATCCTAATGGTCAACCCCAAACTATGGAAGATCTTATCGATAAAAACATTGTTGGGCAAATTATTGATGTATTAAACTAATTATTTATTTATTTATTATTTTGATAAGTTTAGAGTACAAGTTAATTTGTGCTTATTATATCTGTTGGCTTTTTGGCTTTCGAAAGTTAGTATTGTAATTTTAAGCGAGTCAGTAAGGATGAATTAGTCCTTACAGAAGATTAATTGCCAACCAATTATCAGACGATTGTGTTTTAGTTCTTTCAGCCTCAATGAAGAGGACTTTTACTGGTAGCTTATTTAGGAGAATTTAGTAAACAATAATTAAGTGAAGAATAATTGCAGCATTTCATTAAGTAAAAATGAAAAACTTACAATGATCTGACGTAGCCTCGTAGAGGTTTACAGCAACAAGCTATTTGAAACTACTCCTATTAATGAAGTGCAATACAAGAATTTGAAGTACAAAAATGTAAAGGACTGTAAAAACTGAAAGGAAAATAAAGTAGATAAAACTGATTTTTGGATCTGAGTCTGGATCTTTACTCTGGAGCATTCTCTGCTATTTATACTATCCCATAGTAACCGTCGAAGTGGTCTTCCAACTGTCAAATAGTCCTCCTATGATTGCTGAACATGCCGCCTCATAGTCAATGCCACTACGCCACCCTTTACAGTTAGGCTTCCCTCATGATTTTGAATTTAAATGTATGAGTAACTGTTAAGCCACGTCATCTTACATCTCTTCGCTGATCCAGTGCTATGCAGATCCACAATAACCAATGCTAACTGCCACGTGTATGATTGCGATTGGAGATTTGAAATAATTTCCTATAGTGCTCTCATCTTGCCATGTGTTAAACTGCGATTGGTCTGTACAAAATATGCAGCCAACATTACCCCCGGCACTAATATACCCAATACTTGGTGATATTAGTGAATCAAGGCATTTTATCTACGTCTTAGGACGTGTTTGGGCTTTGCATCTTTTCAGAAATGCAACCGTTATTCATCAATGAAGCATTTGCATCATATTAAATTCTCTTTTATTCCTTGAATATTTCCCATTATTTGAGTATTCGAAAAGATTGATACAGCTCTCATGGCCAAGCAAACATTTTCTTACATCGATCAAGCATACGAAGAGTTGTTTAATAATGTTGTTCGTTCTCAAAAGAACCTTCATGCATTGATTAGCCACCATTATCCGCCTCCATTTATACAAGTCATGGAAGTTTTTGCAAATCATCGACCTTTGAACCAAAAACCTATTGCTTACAATTCTTTGGACCAAAAATTTGCAACCATGGATATTGGAAGCTCTTCTTATGCAGCAAAGCCTTTTATATGGGATGAGGCTGCTACTTCTTCTTCTTCTTCTAAGACTTCTGGCTGGGGGACTTGGCCTACCCCTACTCAACCATAGATAAGGGAGCGCATTCATCATCGATTTCTTGAATTCGATGACCCTCTTACGGTCCCCTCTTCCAGACGCAGTTCCGTAGTATACCCATATGTTCCTTTTGACCATTTACGTAGTCTTGAGGACAATTTGCTTTTAGCATGGCATACTTCTACTTTGCCATCCTGAATGGTACGAAGTGCCCCACGTCCTGATGAAGCTTTAGGGATCAGTCCTACACTTTTAGCCAAAAAAGCAAAACTTTGTTCCTTCGATTGGCTGGATTGTGTGACTAGACCTGAGTTCCCAACTTCGTTCAGGGAAATTCCAACTGCTCCTCCTCTGCCTTCCAATCCAAATTGGATTAACGAATTGAGGCTCACTCTTTCTAAAAGCCAATATTTCACTCCTTACCAAGCTCTAGTGCCTCCAACTGCTTATCAGTAATATAGGTCTCAGACCTTGCTTGCTGCTTTTTCCCACTTATCCTTTGAAGTCCTTCGAAGTGACATTCCCCACAAAAACTTTATATGGGCTTGTGACATTATGTCTCGAAGTCATCTTCTCAACCCTGTGGCTCAAACAAAGCTTTATACCTTTTTGGACCAATTTCCCCTTCTACTCAACTGGCATCTCAATGCTTCTATTGCCAGTGAAGTTCTGGATGAAGCCTTCTTCGCTCGAATTCAGGTTCAGTATGAGGCAAATAACCTCTTTG